AAATATATATATATATATATATATATATATAGGTGATTTTGATTAGATTTATATTTGTGGCCATGTAGGTGAATTCTGAATTTAATTAATTCTATACAAATTCAAATTTGTGTGTATTTTACATGTAATTTTGTAGGTGTGAATGTGTGATTATATATTTGGTCAACCCGCACTTAGAAAAAAAAGAGTCATGAATGGTGGGTTAACAATTACATCAGGTAGACCTCTTGATGAATGTATAAATGGTTGAAAATCGTGAAGGGTGGGGTCTCCAAGGGAAGAAGAATACTGTATTAGTCAAGTGTAATGAATTGAATTTTCATATTTATGAGATTATTATTTTTTATTTATGTTGTCTAAATTGTATTAAAATAAAGAAGAAAATGTACATGCAAATAAGAAATTATCATCAAAAATGATATAGAAAAATATATCCACAAAATTTTTTTTATCACTGTTATTTCATTTCATATATGAAAAATTCTACATTCTCCGACTGAATTGTCCGAAACATATTCCAAACGTTTAAGAAATTAATTTAAATTATAAAATATTAAATTAAATAAATATTTAATAATAAATTTATTAAAAATGTTAATATTTTAAAATTTCAGACTGTACTGGTTCGACTTCAGAGGATATAGCAATCCTCTTCATATATTCCTTCTAAATCAAGCATAAAAACAAGTGGAAAATAGGTGTTGGGAGTGTTTTAAAAGATAAACTTTCTATACGGAGTGTATCGCAACTGATCTCATAAATCTATTTTTATATATTAGGGTATGATTGGTTATTCATCAAATATGTCAAGAACTAATTTTATTGTATTTAAAATGATTGGAATTAGTTTGTAATATATTTGATTATTAACATAATTAATTTCAAGATATGAAAATTCATATATACTTAAATGTAATTATTTACTTTTTTATCAAATAAAATTAATTATAAAATTGTATTTATCCAGATTAATAATTGCACACTATGAATTAATTTTGATAAGAAGTTTCAAACAATATTTAATATGAAAATTAAATTGGTATCTTTTGACATCTAAACAAAAACCATGTTATTTTTATCTCACATTTACTCAAAATCAATTTTATATACTCATTGATTCTAAATGAATTATATAAATGTATGTCGTCTAAACACACTTAGTTGATTCTACATCTACATACACAGTTAGTATAAAATGTTATAAAAAAAAAATTATGTTGTTAAAAGTCAATTTTTTATATATGTGTGTGAGAGAAAGGATTTATATATTTCAAGAATAAATCTACATGTGAAAAGAACTTCAACGCACTGCATTAAAATAATAATAATAATAATAATAAACAATAAATAAATAAATAAATAAAAAGTTCCATGCATTTTCATGTCATGCATGCGAAAAGAATGTTAAATGTTTTGGTTATGGACACTGTTTTCAACTTTTCAGTGTTATTTTTATTTTTGTGTGTGATGTCGGGACAGACAGAAAGTGAAGAACGTTGCATTTTCAATGTGCCTTTACTATGCCGTCTCTGTTCCTTCCTTTCACAATTCCAGAATCCGATCCTTTGCGGGCCTACTCATTACCAATGCTTGGTACCTCACACCTTCAGTTGACAATAATAAAATTACAAATAACTAATTATTTATTAAAGTTTAAAATTATTGCTATCGTTGATATCAAGTTATTAACTATGTAATTTAAAATTATATTTAAGCATGTCTCCAATTCTCTAATATACAATCTGGTCTCTTAGTCTAATAGTTGTAAGATCTATCCTAAAATATAGGTTAAATTAATGTTTTTGGATTCAATTTTTTTTATATGAAAATAATGTTTGGTCAACAAAAATTACATTTCACAAATACAAATTAATTTTTAGTTGTTAATTTTAAAATATTATGTAAATATATCTATGAAAAAAATGCTTAATATACATACCTTGGTTTACATGTATGCCATTAAGTACATAGTTTTAAAAATCGGACCGGTCATCGAACCGGTTAAGGTACTGGGTCAGTGGGTCAAAGGTTGAACCGGTGAGTCATTAATTGAACCGCATGACTCGGTTTTTATTTATTTTTATTAAAAAAATATTCATATTAAATATATTTTATACTTATAAATTTTAATAAATTCATATCTTATTTTAAATTTCAATTTTTCTATCTTATTTAAAATTATTTTTATTTTTATTTTGTAAAAAAATACATAAAAAAATTACATGTTAAACGGTATATTAATACAAATTAAAAATATAAATAATATGTACATATATAATATGCTTGCAATTAATATCACAAAATAATATATGTAATATTTACATAAATATTATATTATTAAATATATAATTTAAAATTAATAATATACTATAAAAGTTATTTAAGTTGTATATATTGCAAACAAATATATTAGAACAAGTAATCATTGTTATATTTAATAAGACTCTTTGCTTTTCCATTAAGAGATTCAATTTTCATTATTATTTTTTGTGGTTTATGGTCCCTTAAAAAAGTTAAAAAAAAAGAAAAAAAAATGGTTGAACCAGTTTGACCCACCGATTCACCAGTTGAACCGGAAAATTGACCGGTTCAATCGGGTTTGAAACGGGTCGACTGCATAACCGATCCAACTTAAGATTCGGACCGGCTGGACCACCGGTTCCCGGTCCAACCGGTTCGACCGGCCGGTTTGGTCCGGTTTTTAAATCACTGATTAAGTATGCCTTTAACTTTATAACATGCAATTAAAGTTTAAAAAGTAAAACGTGAAAATAAAAGCTTTTATATTTATAAATAAAAATAAATAGGTTTGTTTTAATGAAAATTTTGAAGTGCAAAATGATTTTATTAAAAATGAGACAAAATAGCTAAGGAGAAATATCCTCTTTATTTATTATTATAAATACTTTTATATGTAATTGTAAGAAAATAAAAAGCTAAATAAAAATCAAATAGATTCTTCCCCTCAAAAAAAAAAATCAAATAGATTCAATATCTTTTGTACATACTTTTTGTTCAACTTGACCATCAAGTTGAGTCAAAATATGACGATATTTTTTTCGAATTTAAAAATGAAGAATTTAGCCTAACAACTCAATTAATTAATCCATAACGTTAGATTAATTTTAACAACTTTATTTCTTGTATGACTTTTTTATCCTATGACATCTTAACCTTAAATAAAAATAAGAGATAAAATTTAAATAATAATAATAAATATATAAATTTTTTAGATTTTCACATTATGAGATACATTATTCCACAATTTACCATCCTAGAGTATCATAGTTTTTTTTTATAAACATTTTTATTGTTTTTGGTACATGGACCATAGTTTGTATGAGTTGGTATTAAAAATTTATAAATAAATTTATATTTAAATAAGTTCTTAGTTTTTTGTAAAATAAGTGATTTTTTTTATTTTGATTCTTATAATTTTTTTTATCTTTTTAAAAAATATAAATATTATTTTTGGATCTTGTAAAAAATAATTATTCTTATAAAATAAGTAAATTTTAATTTCGATTCTTATAAAAAAAAAATCATCTTCTAATATTTAAAATCACTATTTTTAAGTTAGATATATAACATTATTTTAAGGACTTATAAGAAAATTAGAGGTGTTTACTATTGTTTAGGGTTTAGTACAAAGATTATTTTTCCTTTTCTAAATGAATGAGATTAAGAAAGTTAGTTTCTCATATTTGATTTATTAATTAAAAATAACATTTTTAAAAAACATTTAACCTAAACTTTGTTTTCTCATAATATTTTTTATATATGTTTTTCATAAAATCATTCACATGCAGAAGATGAAAATCTTACATTTACAAATTAAAAAAAATTGATATTATATAATCTTTTTATTTTATTATTTAATATGATAAAAATCTTTAAAATATATCATGTTATATTTATTTTATTTATTCAATACATTAAAAAATTATTTTTAAATAATATTTATAAATATGTTTTAAAAAAATCCTATGACCAATAAGTAAATTTTAATTATTCTTAAGAATCATCATTTTTCAAATTTTACAATTCTTAAAAATTATTACTCCTAAACAAGATTTTTTTACTAAACATGTTTTAATAGTTATAAATAATATTTGAGATAATTACTAACTTTTTATTAACAAATAAAAAATTCAAAATAATTTTATATAACAATAAAAATTAAAAATAATAATTTAAAATTTTATAAAGATGAAAATTAAAAAAAAAATTAAAAAGCAAAACCAAATATTTTACATAGCATAAATTGATATTAAAGGCATTGGCATGTGGCACGTTGCGTAGAGCAGTGGAACGCATCGATGTGCGTATAGGAGGAAAGGGATGTAATTGTAATTTCAGGTACAGTTGAAGTTTCACGAGATCAAATCGTGGAAAATTGAGCACATTAATAAATGAATGACGAAAGCAGCGAATTATAGAGGCATAAGCATGTGCATTGAACTTTGTAACGAAGCATATATATAATATAATAAAAAAGAAAAATGGTGTAGACAAGTAAACGGTACTATAAATATTTAGGGAGCAAAAGAAACATCTGGTCTCGTCTCAAAAGATGGAATTGTGTCATTGTTCGACTTTTCTTCTTCCGCCGGAGAGCCCCAACGCGACGTGTTCTCTTTCTCTTAACTACGCTCTTGTTATTCTCAACCAAAGCCTCCCGAGATTCGCTCCTCTGCTTTGGGACCACGGTATGGATTATGGGGCCCTGCACCGCACCCCTCTTTCTCTTTCATATGCATATTATTCATCATTCATCATTCATGCATTCATGCTTGCTACAGCTCATGTACGAGTGTGCGCTGATGGAGGTGCCAATAGGGTGTATGATGAAATGCCTCTTTTCTTCCCACATCAACAACCTTCCCATGTTCGCACCAGGTTGCTTCCTATTTCCAACTTTTTATCTTCTCAATTTTTTATTTTTTTTTAATTTACTTCTAAAATCTTCTTTCTTTAGCTTAGTTCCGATTCCGTGACTCTCTGCTTTGGGTCTGATTGTTTTGCGCAATTGGGGTACTATGTGAAAATTTTCTCACTTCTGACTTTCTCACGATCACTTTTGGGTACTCTCATTTGGTGGTCCAGGATAAGTTCATAAAAGGGCAGGTGTAGTAATAAAATAAAGTTGTTGTTTTTTCTTTTTATACATGATGAAATCCTTCACGTTTGGATTGATGAGTATGATGTCTTTATTGGAAGTTTCAAAGCGGCTGCTATTTTCTGCAACTTCTATTTTACGTATTTGTGGTGGGGATGTGCTTCTCTTAAAAGGAAATAGTCAAATAAAATATGTGAGTTATTGTAGGTTAACATCAATTAGATTCTTTTTGAATCATTTTTGCTAATGTTGTATTAAAGAATTGAGTCCATTATGATTGATCATCTGCTCGATAGATACAATGATATGTCACTCTTACCTCTGGTCATCGGTGACATATAGTGCTTAGTAGTGTCTTGTTTGTTTCTGCTTGTCGTGGAATTCCTATGTAATGCATTTGGTATCATCAATTTCCATGTTAAATATATTGAACCTTGTTATATTTCCTTATTTATATTTTAACTGGTATGTTTGATTGGGGGGAAAGAAAATAGAGAGGAAAGAAAACATAGATAATGATGTCTTTTCCTTTGTTTGATATGAGGGAAAATGAAAAAATAAAAAATAAAAAGGAAGAGAAAAGTTGACTTGGAGAAATAAAGTTTCAAAATTTTCCTTCCTTCCACTTTTCCTTCAGTACAAGTTTCAAAATTTTCTATCCTTCCTCACTTTCTTTCCTCGGGGCAGAATTATTAGTTTTTCATGGATATATGTGGAATGTCGCATCCTTCACCTATGAGTGCTAGTCATTAGTCGACAATATCTTTCAATTAATTAGTCTAACTTTTCTTATAAGACGCATGTATATTCATTTTCACTTTTGGGATTGGTGTCAGTGGCATAAGCTCTCCAAATGATCTTTATTTCCATTTTCTAGTCTAAGCAATTAATTGTTGGAGGACTTGGTTAGACTGAAAACGGTGTCACAAATGATTGTTTTATGTGCTACTCTGTTTTGCTGTCGGTAGAGGTGAGAGCATGGTTTGCCATGTTGAGTATATGGTTGCAGATTTCCTTTTATCTAACTCGCCTGGTTTCTATCAGGTTCAAGCCTGATGTTATCAAAGGAGACATGGATTCAATCAGGAAAGAAGTACTTGACTTCTATGCAAAACTGGTATTTTCTCCATCTATATATGTCTATGATTTTTTGTGTGACTCACCTTGCACATGTGCATGTAGTGATGAGAATAAATTTAAAACTCGTCTTTCTGGTTCATACCAAAGTGCCACTTTTTTAATAAATTTGTTACTGTTAAATATACAATTTTGTATAATCATGTCAAGGGTCTTATGTTCGTTTTCCTCGTGCAGGGAACTAAGATAATTGACGAGTCTCATGATCAGGACACCACTGATTTACACAAATGTGTTGCATACATACGTGACCTCACCCCTGATACTGATCGATCAGCTGTGAGTTGAATATCTGGTTATATTATTTATTTTCTGATTTTCTTTTGGAGAGAGGATACATGAGAGTGAACTGGTGTCAATTTTAACCGTGGACTAAGTTAATTTTGGAATAACTGAAATGAATCAAGTATGGTGCTGTATCTGCTTAATCCCTTCTTGACAGTAAAGATTGCTATCATGTTAGGTGTATTTAGTTGTACACTTGTACCATTGGAATTAATCTCAGTTTGGCACCCTTTTTTCCTTAATGGAATGACAGCTTTGCATTCTTGTTGCTGGAGCACTTGGTGGGAGATTCGACCATGAGATTGGAAATATTAATGTGCTTTGCCGATTTTCAAACACACGAATTATCCTTCTATCTGATGATTGCCTCATTCACCTTCTTCCAAAGACCCACTGTCATAAAATCTTTATTCAATCTTCTGTTGAGGGTCCGCATTGTGGACTCATTCCCATTGGGATGCCGTCTGGAAGTTCTACTACCACAGGACTGAAGTGGGACCTCAGTAAGTATTTTATGTGTTCTTTGATAATAATGTTAGGTGACTACTCTAAGTATATAAGTCTGTAAATGAAATTGTGCATTCTGAGGCTCTGCCTGAGTAGGTGGTAGTCATTGCCACTATATCAGAAAAAAATTACTGTGCCTGTTACTACAGTATATAAGATGGATTCGTTTATCCTATGCTAACTAATAAACAATTAGTTAAACACGCTAATTAGCAATCTATCCGAACAGCAACACATGACAGAATAAATATGATGCTGTAGTGTGATGGAGAGCATAAATGGTTCAGAATTTCAGATAAAATCATTATCTTCCATTGCCTTTTTGAATCGCCCAGTTCTTATCTTGTTTGTTAATGGAGTCTGACGATGAACATTTTATTTTGACTATTTCAGAAAACACGGCAATGAGATTTGGAGGTTTAGTAAGCACATCAAATATTGTAAAAGGGGAAATCGTCACAGTACAGTCTGATTCAGATCTTCTTTGGACTATTTCTATCAAGAAGCTCTAGGTTTTACATGTTGTATAATGCGGTGACTCTTCAGATCTTCCACACCTATTAATATGCTCCTATTCCATTTGAAGGCCAGAGCTTCTGCTGACCTTTCTTTATGTTTCATTCTTTTAATTTACTGTGTTTTATGGGAGGGAATTAGGGAATTATTCATTAATATAGGAAGTTCTATTCCTAACAACTGTTAAGCCTTCGAAGTTCAGTTTTCAAAGAGGTTACCTACATTCTTTTACATGTTGTATGTTTTTGTTTTCCGTAAATGAAATAGCAGAATACAATGTCCAAAAAACAAAAGTATAAAGAAAAAAAAAGGAGAAAAGTAGAAAACCTTGTCTTGTACTACTATTGCTTATGCATATTGAAATACTTAACGTACTTTTTTAGTTAGCATTCTACATTGTGTAACAGTGAAATTATTGATTTTTTTTTTTACAATGATCAAACTGAGATTAAAAAATATGACTACCTACCACTATTATATGATATATGATATAGGGAGCCTATCAAGTGAGAGAAAATTTATTATGAAAGATGAGATGGTTAAAATATAATTCTTAGATTAATTTTTTCTCACTTGATACGTTATATATATATATATATATATATATATATATATATATAT